AACAGAAAACACGAATATTGTACTGGTACAGTAAGACCCCGCTTAACGCTGATTCGATAGTTATATCGAATCAGCGTTAAACGTGGTCTATCGCTGTATCGTTAGCTTGATCAAACTCAACCTAATCGATACAGCAGGACTAGGAGATGTAGACGAACAGGATATTGAGGAGTTACCGCAGGTTTCTGGTGAGTCTTATCAGCGACGACCTTCGAGAACTGGCAGAACAAGGAAATCTATGTAGAACTGGAAAATGGTGATTCTGAAAACGAAGAACCCAAAAAATTTCTCTACAGATTTCTTTAGTAAAAGTTTGGTAACGATAACCGAAATCGTTGCTCAAATTGCAGCGAATGATCTAGATTTTGAAAGGAGTGCAAAAGCAAAACGAGGCGTTTTGGATGCGATCTTCTACTACCGATATTTACTTAAGGAAAGAAAACAGAGACAAATGAAACTTCACGACTTTATTGCAAAAAAACAAGAATTTCAGGAAAGTCAGGACCTTCGTCACAAAAAAATGAACTATTAATATAGAAAAAATAAACTAATTAATATATTATTATACATTTCTGTGTGCATATGCTTATGTGTTATTTAATATATATTATTATACAAATTAATATAAAAATAACTTAAAATTAAAGTAGAATTCCTTTTATTTTCGGTCGCGTGTTCCCCTATCCTCATTTACTCGATTTTAAAATTATACCTCGTTTAACGCTGTTTCGTTTAGCGCTTTGTCGTCTAGGAATGCATCCTCGCGTTAAGCGGTGTCTTACTGTATATTACAAATTTTAATGTTTAAACTTTGTCTATGACTATATTTTAAACCACACTCATTACATTCCATTTTATTTAACCTATAACGAGTTCAACAACGTTGACAGTACGATAAACAAATGATAAACGTGCTTTTTACTCTTCAGATCGAAACTGACACTAAACCAGTTGCCGCCATTAGCGCCGTTCGCCGTAGAGGCATAATTTAGAACTAATACTTGCTCGGGGCTAGACGCTTGTTTGTCAGCACAATGTGTTTTTGCTGACGGGAAAAATTAGTTCCAAAAATTACTGATAGGTGACGTTGACATATAAAAGACCACGAATAGACGTGTAAACGACAATGAAAATGACTTTCAATGTGTTTTTTGATTGCGGGGATATTTAAATTCCCGAGTGTTTCGATCAGGTTTTTCCACATTTTTGAAATTTAAAAATGCTATTCGAAAGGAAGTAACATCCATCCATCCTGACGTGCTGCACTCTTAACTTGTGTTGTATCCTGTGGTAGAGGCCTCGTCGAATACTTGTCTAATAAAACACATTAAGATGGTTTTCGTTTTCATTTCTTTTGTATATCAATGCCACCTAACGATGATTTTTGGAACTAATGTTACTCGTGTTAACGTGTTAACAATACTTACCGCATTTCATTTTCATGCTTATTCCATTTGTTATGAATGTTTAAAGTTTTAACGGACTTTTTGATGATGCAATACATGCTCACTGAGAATTTTACGTGTGTCATCTGAAAAAGTTAAACAAGATCATCTGAAACTGGTTTACCACTTCCTACGTTCACGTGATTGCCTGAAGTTCATACCGCATATTAAATAGCGAGGTTGCGGCCGAAATTTTCAACGCGTAAGCGTGTACGTCGGACGTTTAGTGCCGCTTTCCTGTAAGCCTAGAAGTTTGACAATGGCGTTTGGAACGTCAGTGGAGTCATGCTCGACGTTCCAAACGCCATTGTCAAACTTCTAGACTTACTTAAAGGCGGCGCTGAACGTCCGACGTACACGTTTTCGCGTTGAAAACTTCGGCCGCAACCTCCCTAATATATGATGCCATTTAGCAATAAACTCGGAAAGTCTCTTGACGAGAAAGGTGTCGCAAAATTTAAATTGTCTGTTGGTGGGACTGTCCGCACGTGGAATAGACTTCCCTATGTGTATATATATTTCCTGGAACAACCTATTATATATATAAATTACCTGTATAATTAAATTTTCTTCGTTTAATATTTTATAGTTAAGGAAATTTGTTGTCTCATTTCTACAGTAAGATAAGTAATAATTCTAGCGATAAAATCCAATTATTAAATTCATATATTTCAAAATTTAAGAGGAAGTTTTTAGATTAAACATAGACGCAATATAAATTTGTTTTATTCTCTTGTAATAATCAGAATGAAAATATGTAATTAATGATTTTCTAATTCAAAAATAAAAGGAAAAATAAAGATAATTAAAACAAATTTGGCTGTAAAAAAGCATTTTAAAAACTAACAAAAAAAAATAAACTATAAAAATTATTTAAAATAATACTTTATGAGTTTCTTATCGAGAATTTATTTTAATGGAGAAGAATTTAATTGCATAAAAAGTGCTAACATTGATAAATACTTTTAATAAATTATTCGTGTGATAATGTTAAAACATAAGTAGGGCTTGAAAAAGATGAAACGAGATTTGGGCTAGTCACAAATGTAGGACTTTCGAAAACATAAATATACGAATAATATAAATACAATTAAATAAATTTGATTATTTGTATTATATTTCTTAAAATAAATCAAACATTGCTATTTTTTATTGGACTAATAATCAGAAATTTATTTATATTAATTTATTACGTTTGAGAATTCTGAAAATTTTTTTCGGAGTAAAAATTTTATAGTAGTTTACTGCAAATTAACAAATTATTATTCCGTTTTATGGATAAAACTGAAAAAAAAAAAAACTTATAAGTTAATAGATTAATGTGTTTTAATAATTGAAAACAAAGAGTCACTTCGACAGTAAAGACGTTCTTAGAGATCCGGGTTCGAGTCCAATTTGAATCGTCAGAAATGTTCAGGATGAATTTTCTAAGATGTTTAAACTTACGCAATAGACTTTCGCTAGGGCAATGGCTTTCACGACATCAACACGGTGTCGAAACAAGTTTTCGGGATGGCGCAAGATTTCCTAATACTTAACAGTTTATTCAAAGTTTAATTAAATTATTAGATATAAGACATACCAAATATATTAAAATAGGAGGCTTCAAAAACCACTGGCTTAAGACTTCGTGCATTTGCAATAAGATTAACTTAAATCAACCCAATACCAGTCGACCCCACCTATAACACTGTTGATTATTCCGTTTTATATGAATTCCATGTTGTACGAGTCACTTAGATTTTACAAATACGTGAGCTGTTCACAGCCCGGTACACGCATTTGTAAAAAAATCTAAATGACTCGTACAACATGGAATTCATATAAAACGGAATAATCAACAGTGTTATAGGGGGGTCGACTGTATATCTATTTTAGTATGGTACATTACATCGGATCAGCTCCGTCATCATTGTGGGAATGATTTAATTTATGATGAAGCACAAAAAAGAGGTCTTCATAATACCCACAAGAACAAAAACAACATTAAAAAATCAAAAATTGAAAAGTAAAAACAGTTCTTCTATTAAAGAATCATTATAAGAAAAAAACTCATATTGTATTAAGACATATTATTTAAAAAATATTTTATTTTAGTAACATCGAAAAAAGTATTACTTTCTATAAATTTAATTATTTAATTACTGTTATATTAATAAGATTTACTTAATAATAAAATAATAATACATTTTATATAAATAAGGAAAATGTCTTTATAAAGTAATATTAAGTCAAAAAATTTAAAAATTAATTAAAAGCTTTCTTGATATCTCTAATGTATAAATTCAAAATAATGTAGAATTATTATAAATTAAATTATTAAATGTGTTATTTTTTTAAATATTTTTAAATTAATTGATTTCAGAATATTTGATAGATTCGTCTACGTAGAATATTATTAACATACTGTACGTAATTTAGTAATTATTAAGAAATCTTGTTATTTCCTTATCGATTAATCGAATTCACATAGTTTCGAAAGTCAATTTACGTAGAAATATACGTCAATATGAAATTATAAGCTAAAAATAAACGCATAAAATTTATTCTAAAAACCATTCCAATTTATTAAAGTAAGAATTCTTACAACACCATCATCTAGAAAAGTTGGATAAAGGAAATTACTGTAAGAAGAAAAACTCGCATATTCTAACTAGAACCTCACAACTAAACAGCGAAATAAGAAATGATAAAAGTTAAAATATATACATTAATATTTTTATTACTTTACAATATATTAATAGCGATGTAAAGATATAGCCTAATAGTGAGTTGTGGTGCATAGAACAATAGTATAAAGATTAAAACAATAAGAAAAATATTTGATTAAATTTAAGAATTGATATTATTAATCAATGATATGTATTCTTAAATTTTTATGTAATTCTCAAGTTATAACACTGACATATTTACAAATTCAAACATAAATATAAGTACTGTACAACAGAGTGTTTGATAATAGGAATTTTCATATTCTTCAAATTGAACAGAAAATACAAAGTATATTAAAAATATATAATTAAATATAAAAATATCCGTTATATGTTACAATTAAGCGCTTTAAATTAATGGTTTAATTTAGGCCTATTTTTTGACATAAATAGGTCTTCTGTCACCTGAAACCACGTGAAATATATCAGCTGATAATCTAAGTACAGTACACGCTGGATAGTTTACAAGATATTTGTCGAAATATATTTTGACACATACCTTGTAAACTATAACAAATTGCACGATTTTTAACCTATTTCCTTTTCCAAAAATCACAAATTATTCATTAATATTAATAGAATATTTAAAATTTCCCCAATAAAATTAAAACACTGTTTTTCCACTTACAAATTATTATATATTACATAATTTTAATTTATATTAGTAATAAACAACGTTTACAGTAAAGTATATTATTGTATATTACGCATCCTTAACACACATTTAGTTTAAAAATTATCTATTTTTAAATTAAATTCTACATTGGATAATATATATTATCACACGTATTTAAAATGAATACCCATTAAAGATTAATTAATAAAAATATAAGCAATGACTTACCATTAAAGGAAAATTCAATTCCTTTGATCAATTCAAAAAAACTCATTATTTTTCAGGTCACGAGTAAAATATTCAAAGGAAATGGCTACATGTACTTGAAATATAACATGGAGGGGAGTATCCAAAGAACACCAGCGGGGAACTGAATTAAAACAGGTCAAGCACAATTAGGTCACAGGAAAAATCATATATCACTTTTTCTTATATATTTTCTAATATACTTTCACTTAAACTGTATAGAAAGTATTAAAGATTAACTACATTTATATTTTTTTTACGTTTTCCTTATTATAAGCTTGATGTTGAAGGTAATTTGTAGCTTATACTAGAACTTACCTTTCAAGGGAACCCCGTTTTGATTAAATATTAGAGATTATAAAAGTTTAACGTAGATAAGATAGTCATATTTTCATATTGAAAATCAGCTGACTCGCTACTGTTTTTGTAATTTAAAAGTATTTAAAATGGAATTAAGAACTTGACGTTTTAACTGTCGTAAACAACTATGCACCTTTGTGGTGCCTTAACAGAGTACAAGTTTTGAAACTATGACGAAATTCCAAGAAACAAAAAGAAAAAAGTACAAATGGCTAATGGAATTTCCTTTTGTTATTTTTACTTTTTCTTTTATAATCTTTACCTTGGATCTTTTTTTATGTAGGGATTTCTCATTACTCATCAGAAGATTGCAATTAAAAATTTCGTCATCATATTTACCTCTTAAATTTAATTAAATTTAAATGATGCATTTATTAATTCGAATAAATATTATTTTCTATAATATACAAAAATTATACTGAATGAACGTTAGATTAATTTCAAATTGATTTAGACTAGTAGATTTGGTAATTTGTTCTTATTTTATATCAATATAGGAAGGGGTCGTAGAATTAAATATAAGTTCGGAAAGGGGTTGACAAACAAAAACATGGGAACCTCTGTTCTAAATGATATAAATATCGTATTAGCCTATATATTAATACAACATTTTTACCAATATCATTACGTTTGTTTACTCAACTCATACTTTCATTTATGTAATTCTATTCAAAGTATATTGAACTACAAGTATATCCTTGAATAATCCTCGAGATAATAGGCAAAAGCTTGTATTAAACTTTTATAATAATTACACTAGATGTGTTTTCGATTTGTGTATCATGCATTCAGGGTTACAGCCGTTTATTTATAGTTTTATCATGTTAAAAAAAGTTAATTACTTTAAATCTAATATATAAATTTATGATAATTAAGTTTTTATATAGACAAAAATTCCGGCTATTACATTCTTTTTCCTGTTTTCTCAGAATGTTTCTGAATATATAATGAGCAGAAACTTTGAATTTAATTTCTTAAAGCAAAATTATATGAAAATGTTCGAGCTACATCATACTCTGTTCTATATACCCTTTTAAATGAAGACATAGGTGATATGGCTTTAGTCAGTAAATACATAATCTAATAATTGTGTAAATGAAAAGATATAAGTATGCTGCATGTAACCTACTAAATATGTTCCGTATGTGTATATAAGTTATATTATAAATAGGCCTATATATATACATAATAAATGCATATAATTAGGGCCGGATTAAGGCATTTTGTGGTCTTAAATTATTTAAAATAACAGGCTAACAGGTCTTTTTCTTCTACAAATAACAATAAATTAAAAATTCAAGGACCTAAACTAGAACTTTTTAACGCAAAGCCCTAAGCTAGAGCTTGTGTAACTTATGTATAAATCTGTTCTTGTATATAATAAATATTATATTTACTTATATAAATGTTATTGTAAAATTTAAATTACGAAAAACAATATTAAATAAATTTTCAGCTTATTTTACGGTTTGTGATTTGAAGAACGAAATCTTAACCGAATCACTCATACCATTTGCCAGATAATTATTTAATATTTTATAAAATATGTAATATAAGTCGGAAATTTTACAATTCTTATTCATAAATAAATTACTTCGAGCTTATAAACAGATAAAGAATGGCCAAAACTCAGTTTACCGTAGAAAAACGTTTAAACTTTTACAAAATTTGTATATATTTATAACAATTTTGGTACAGTTGGTTACTAATAAGCAATTTACCTTTTACAATGGCTAACTGACTATTGGATGCCGTATATTAATATTAAGAAGATTTTTTAAAATATATATTTCAACAAACTTAGAATTATATTAATACATTCTATCAAAGGTGAGCATATTACAAATAATTACATATATAAATTCTTATTATAGATATTATAAGCTATACAAATTACAAATTAATTATAAATATCTGTAATTTTTATAAAGAAAAGACAGAAATACCTGCTTATTCCTACGATGCGATGTTCTGTAATGTTACTTCTATTATTTTCCTGCGATGTTTGGTAGCAATAATTGCGCAGGGAAGTGTCCTTGGTTAACTTGACATCAGGTAAATTATGTACGAAACTTGTTCGGTGGTAAATAGAGTTATCTTGAAGGCCAAATGTTTCTATAGACGATTTCTATGTTAAATAATTGCAATTTTATTTTATGAAATACGTTCGTTTTCCTGTAACATAAACAGAAATACTTTTAAAAATAATTATCACAATTTTAACTCTTTCAAATTATACAGAAAAATTACGAATAATTAAAAATAGTTTTGCTTCAGGCATTGTATTAAATTATTTTTAAAAAAATATTTTAATTTTACTTAAAATTTATTCCTCTATTTTTATCGTTAAATACTTATTTTTACATCTGTCTTATACGTTACTTTCACTCCAAGAAGAAAGCGATAAAACTATTAATTTATGTATAGTATTTTATAAAGATCATAATATAAAAATTTAATAACTTAAAATACAATGCTCAAATGAAAATTAAATATTGATATTATATTTACTTTTCATTTAAATATTAAATAATGAATAACTTATAATAGAACTGACATCTAACTAATAATGTAGTAACAGATAAGTAACGTTCCATATGAAAGTGCGCCAAAACATCGCTAAACCGTAAAAATAATAATTATTATATAATAATAATCATGAATTTCAAAATCAGAATTTTATAAAAAGTCTTAGTTTTTATAAAAATATTTAAATTTATTTTAATTGCTTTCAAGTCCTGTTATGGAGGCAGCAGAACTATTTGACTCGAGCTTCACATTTTCAGGACCTTAAAAACACACTAAAAATTATTCATTTTGTTGCATTTCTTGTGTATTAAAATAGAAAAATCTTTAGTTTTTTTGTCATATTTTATTGTTTAAAAACATATTACATTTTAAAATCCTTTTTAAATTTTATTGAAAAGGTAACAATCCCGGATACTTCTTGGCATCTGAAAGGTCCGACGATTTCAGAAATCGAGAAAAAACTTCTATTCATTCGAATAAAGTCAATCAAACGCATCTGTTCTAGTTAAAGACTTCAATAAAGTATGAGATGCTAATAAGTTAAAATAAGGCATTCAATTGCTCTTAAATTTCTCATATGAAAGCTTCGAAAAGTATAACACTATTTCAAGCTTACAGCTTGATCAATTACTTCCAAAATAATTCATTACAATCTCATTACCTTTTTTTTAATTTTAAATTGATATTTTCAATTGATAAAATATTATTTAGAATTTTTTTAGAATGAGAATGAAATCTTTAATATATTAGGCCTATTTAAATAAATTATTTTAATATTAGGCCCTATATCCTACATGTTCTGTAGATCTTACTATAAATTCAAATTTCTTACTATATGAATGTATATATTAATATATATATATATATTTTTTTTTTAAATCTCTTTCCACTCAGTGGGACTAAGAGGAGATTTTATTTATAGCAATCGTGAATTCGGCCAGACTCACGATGGGAACGACCGGGTAGCGAGAAACCAAAAAGAAATTTAAGTTAAGCCCTCCTAAATAGCAGAGTACCAATGTATACTTTTTAACCGAATATTCCCCGTGAATATTAAGCAGCGTACCCTTCAATATTTGTGAATTTGTACCATTTAATATTGCAAACCAGTATTAACACTAAATTACATGATCTTCAACTCAAATTTGTGTACCTCATTACTATATGTAATTCTTATTGTTTAAAGCACCAGTTTAGCGGACACGGTGAATTTAAAACATATTTCAAAGGCAAACAAATGGTGACGCTAAACTAAATCAAGGTTTAACTGTATATATATATATACACACACTTAATTGCAAAATGTACAGTACATACACGTATATATATGTTCTGATCCAAGATGTTTTCTTTTTCAAAGTTTTTAATAAATACGGGAGTGTTGAGTACATTCTTAACCTTCGTGAATTAAATTTGAATCGCGACTATTTCATTTATTTATATTAAAAATACTAAATATTCTTTTATACAAACATTACACAAATATATTTAAGCCTACATTTTCTAAAAATTGTATTCAAACCCATAAAAAAAGTTTACTAATACGTAACAAATTTACATAAATATACTGCAGATTTCCAATAACTAATTAGTAGCAATAGTACTTTACAAGAAATACGAAATATGTTATCACTTTCAAACATCTTTTCGATATTTCAAGGACATAAAGCCGTCGTGACTACCTTGAAAACGACCTCGCTTTACATCTAATACGATTCAAATAAACTTAATACCACTCATTCTTTTAATGCAATCTGCATATTAAACGTTACGTGTTATCTGTTATTAATATTATATATACGAGCTGAGAATGATAAGACCCAGGCAAGCCATTTTGAACTCTTTTCTTTGAAACCTGTGAATAAAATCAAAACAAATAAAAATAGATTTTTTAAAACTTATTAAAAGGAAATATAATTTATTTCGTATTTTTTTACACATAAAAAACGAAATTTTTGAGCTCCACTAGAAGGTCCTGTGACTTGAGAGAGGGATAAGCAAGACCTGGATCGAATGACCTTGCTATCCCAGGTTTACACATAATGGAAAATGCAGTAGATCCCCCTATAACACGGTAGATAATTCCGTGTTGTACGAGTCACTTAGATTTTACAAATACGTGTGCCGGGCTATGAACGGCTCACATATTTGTAAAATCTAAGTGACTCGTACAACATGGAATTCATATAAAACGGAATAATCAACAGTGTTATAGGGAGGTCNAACATTAAAAAAAAAAAGACCATTTTTACTAAAATTTATTATTCATTTTTAAATATTTTTTGCGACTAATAATAAGGGAAATGTTACCCTATATAAGGTAATTTATCTTTAACAAGATAAGGAACTAATTAAGTTACATCTTAAAAAGATGTTTGTTTATTTTGATTAGTTTATAATTAATTTAAAATATCAATTTATTTTTTTTAAGATAATTTAGTTAATTAAGATACAAACAATAAATTTAGTCTCAAAATTTATAAGAATTTAGCCTGGTATTTTAAACAATTGAGAAAAAAATAAAATAAAATAAAACACAAAATAATTTCCAGCTTTTCTCTGACTTTTTGTTTGCTGATAATAATTGAATTTTCAAGCCATATTTAGTATATAAATCTATTTTTACTAAAATTTTATTCAGGATTATTCTAGATTTAACTTTAAATCAAAATTTTGTAGAAGCTAAAATAACATGATCATATTTATTTCGTAATTTTTTAATATTAAATTATCAGTTTAGTCGAGTCATCTCATAAGTGCCAGAACTACTTGGTTCGTGCCTCATGTTTAGATCTCAAAATCATTTATTACAAATTATTCATTCCATTCCATTTCTTGTGTATTAAGAAAAAATACATTTTTTTTAAATATAATGCAATTTTAACACTTTTTTTAATATACTAGGGGCTTTAAAAAGATAAACGGAGAGGATTCTCTCGATATTTGAAATTAAAAAAAAAAAGTTACATAAATTTAGCGGTTTTTTTAACTCTTTGCATATAAAAATTCTCTAATTACTTTCCGGAAACTGTTGCAGTGATTAATGTAAAGTAAAAAGTTTGCTTTAAATATGAAAATGATTGAGATAAAGCTCAGCTTTGTCATTACAAAAATTATCTCGAAAAATTGCATAATTTAAAACATTTAAATTTTTTTCTTTTTCTCTTTCCAGGACAAATATTATTTATATTAGAAAAATACAAAACTGAAAAATGCAATTATGTAACAAATAAAT